TTTAGTTCGTGTCTATGAAAATGGATGGGCTACAAGTAACGAGATCGCTGCCGCACCTAAGAGGGGACTATTTCACAATGAAGGGCGAAATCTAGTTACCTACGTAGCAACTACCAAAGAAATCGCCACTTACATGCTTCGCGTTGGCCAGACCAAAATTGTCTTGGACAACAAGCAGTACTCAGTTTCTTTCCGCCCCTGGATGACCGAACAGGAACTCTGGGAATGGCGGGAAGTGGCACGGCACAAATTCTTTTGGATAAGGTGCCAACAAGTCCCTGTGGCGGCCTTGGTGTCGCTCCAGGGAGCTGTGGAGGATGCTTTTGGCAAAGTAATCAGGGTGTTTCCAGCGTACAAAGATCAATCTTCTCCTGACCTGGTCAATATCCGTTTTGATTTGGAATCAGTTGCAAGGTTACGTTATAAAAGGTATCTAGTGGTTGACCTAGGTCCTGGCGGTTACGTCGACATTGAGGTATCTGCACCACTACGCCTTGGTGCCCACAGTGCAGGCAGCACTTTCACGAAGAAGGAGACCCTGACTGTCCGRAAAAGAAGAGTGTTTCATACGCAGATAAGGTGAAAGGAAAGAAGTCAGACCCTAAACCAGCTGCAACCGAAAAAGGGAAGGAAGTAAAGGAGAAGGTAAGGGAGAAGGACCTCTCCCCCCCGCCACCAGCGCCAGCAGCCCCGGCGGGAGGAGGGGAGAGGGAGGAGGGAGGTAAGAAGGATCAGGGGGGTCCCTCAGCAGGGGGGTTGTCTGAGGGACGTGACAAGGCACCGCCAGAGGGAGCGGGTCCCAAAGTGAATCCAGGAGTTGACCCGAACCCGCTCATGGAGGTAAACGGAGGAAGCGAGGGGATTAAGGAAGGAGGAGTGAAGAGTCAGACAGACAGGATCGAAGATGGAGACGACAAAACAGAGGACATAAATGAAGATGTCCAGGCGGGTCGAGGGAAGAGGAAAAGAGAGGAAGAAACATCAGCAGTAGTAAGTGACGTGGAACTATCAGATGACGGATCGGACGAAGGGGAGGGAAGGGATGAAGACAAGAAGGGGGATCACTTTGAAGAAAAGTCGATCCAGAGCGAAGACTCCCTGTCCCTGAGCGAAAGGTGTGAAGAGAGTGAGGAGGATGAAGGATTGGAAGGGGGGGTGACGATAGGATTGATGTCGCAGGGGGATTTCCAGGAATCCACGAAAATTTATGAAAATAAGGTATATGATATGGAAACCCCTGTGCCGCACCAAAAAGGAACACCCCTGTCCAAAGACGAAACCCCTTCCTCAGAGGATGCTTTCTCGGACTGTCATGAGGTAATGGCTACCCCCAATAAGGAGGAAGTCACAGGCTCGACACCGTCTCGAGATAGGCCCCTCGAGGGTAAGTCCCCGACCAAAAAGGTGAAGGTGTCACTCAAAAAAGGGAAGAATGCCCCAAGATTGGATCGTAACCTGCTCCTGGAGAGAGGCAATCATCAGACTAAACGGAAGGAGCAAAACACTCGACCGACGAAGCAGCTGTCTCTTGCACCACCAATGCAAACAATTTCTCGTTCAGATAAACCAAAGGCAGCAACAAAGGAACTCAACCTTCCTCTAATTTGCATCATGTTGCCTCACGGCCCCATGGTCTTGACTAAGTTGGATGACAATGAATGTCAGCTTTTACCGACAATCGCTTCGAATGGTTTCCTAACGGACACGAGATTGGTAAAGGAGATCAGGAGTAGTGTGTTGGCGGATTGTTGTAAAAGTACCATTCTCCCAGAGCCTAAGAGGGGCCGCCTCCTGGTCAACGCACCGGGAGGGGGGAAAATGGTATTGCGCATATCTTTCGCAKCACTCAGAGGAGAAGCGGACACAATTCAGAGTTTGCGGTTTCACCGTATTCATTGGATCCCACTAGCACATCTTCTGGATGTGGAAACCGACACTCTGAGTAACGTTCAGATTGTGGGCGAAGTATCGGCAAATGTAATTGCGGAATGGATCACTCACTCGGATTTGACGAACTTCTTGTCCTCGGTGACCTCTGCGGACTCCCTCTCAGTGAACTCCCGACCCTCCCCGGCTTTGGAAGGGAATAGGGACAAGGTCACTCGGAGGGACAGAAAGATCTCTTCCTCCCGCATCCAAAACCTGAGTGGAAAGGGCCCCCTTGATGGTCCTACCGGCCAGGTTTAGGTTCGCAACATGGAACATTCGGGGATTAGGTGACTCTAATGGGAGATGTAAAAATCGTACCTGGATCCACAAGAATAATGTTCAGTTCGCTTGCCTGCAAGAAACAAAATTAAATGAAGAAAAAATGAAGGACATTCGAGGCTGGTGAGAGGGCCCACAGGTGTGGGCCCCAGCAGAAGGGTCGAAGGGCGGAGTAGCGGTGTTAATTGATAAAAATATAGATTTAGAAGAACTGGATAGCTATGTAGATTCCAACGGGAGGTTTGCTTGGATTAAAATTGCTATTGGTGATGAGGATWGGGCCATTATGTCGATCTATGCACCGGTCCATTATCAAGATAGAATTGTTTTTTTGGCAGATTTGCCTGCATTCATGCCAGATTCAGAAAACTTGTTAATAGCTGGAGACAGGAACAYGGTGTTCAACCCYGGCCTCGATTCGTTGAACGTCAAACCGTTGAGGACGGACTTGTTTATCCTAGCTCAGTTAGCGGAAGCACATGTCCTGTCTGATGTATACAGGACTTT